GAGTACAGAGCACAGTGATACAGGGCAGCGTCTGCAGGCACCACACTTCTGATGTACAGACTTGTTGTATTTGCTGTATTCTCCGAATAAAACCTTTCTGTGGCAAAACTGGCGTACCCTTTCCCGGCGTGTCTCCATCCTCTGTGGAGAATATATTCCGGTGCCTGGTTGGGATACTGTCGAAACCAGTAGAGATCAACAGGGCCCACAGATGAAGTATCATAATTACAAAGGAGGCTCACAGTCTTCCCCACGGTTCCAGATACTTCTGTCTCCTGGGGCCTCATCCAGTCTGCTCTCCCAGGTCCTGCAACATAGAACACACACCAGCCAAGGGTCATTCTAGCTGCCTCATCCAGAAGGTCAACTCGAATCCGGGACCAGACTCAGTTACCTGGAAGAGTCAGAGCTAGAAGTGACGTGAAGACAAACTTAAGAGTCATCATTTCTCCTGGAGTCCTCAGTAATGAGCTTCCATTATTCAGTGGCTTCTTCAAAATGAAAGGCTCATAATCAAGTCACTGGGAGGGGGTTTCTGGAGGATTCATGAGTCAGAAATGGGAGGAGCTCAACTGAATTAACTACGGAGAGCTTTTTTTTTTTTTTTTTGGAAGGAACAGAAATATCCTCTTTTGCAGTGACTTTGAGAAACACCGGTTCTTTGAAATAATGTGAACTCTCCACATCTGTCTAGACTTATTTTTTCATGTTCATGAATAGAAGTGAAATGGAAGGTGTAAATGCTAAAGAGTTAACAGTGGGAATTTCTGTAGGTTGAGGTCATAGATGTTCCTTTAATTTGTGTTTTTCTTTTACTAATGAAATCATTCATTATTAGTCTTGTTAATTAGAATTAGAGTATTTATTTTGGTAAAAGTTTAGTCTTCTAAGACATAAATTCTATTGGTTCTTGTGGAGGAAATAGGAAAGAGTGAAAAAGAAACTGTCCAGCTGCCTTATTCAGTCCAGGACAGCTACGTCTGATGTGCAGATTGTCAGCGCTCAATATTCTTGAGTCTGTGACCAGCTGGGAGGATTTACCGTGTTCTTTGCATCTCAGGAGCCTTTTTGAAAAAACAAACAAACAAGCATATAAACAAAAATGTCTCCCACCAAAGTTTTCTTTTGAAAGTATAGATAGATCCATCAAAGTGAAAAAAAAAAAGAAGAAGAAGAGAAAAGAAAAAGGAAAAAAGAGAGGAGGTCACAGTCTGGAATAATAAACTTCCTTGAGTCCAGAAAGGGGAGAGGGGCACGTTTGGGCTGACTGATGGGTGGGAGGATCTGAGACCTATGTTTTAAGTGGCTTCAGTGCCTGGAATGCCACTGCAGGAAAGATCCCATCAGGTACAATGTAGTTACTGTAGTAAGACTAACTGATCCTAAATACCATTTATTGAATAGCTACTATATGCAGGAAGGTTGGGGATGGGTCTCAGGAGGCTTTCCTTTTGGTGGAGTCATTTGAGAGTCTTGGCCAGAATCCCTTTATGGCATCTCAGGAATTGGCTCAACTCCCTGAACTGGGCAGCATCGGGATTCGTCAGTACTCCCTCATGCAGCTCTGAACTAGTGCAAGGAGAAGTGCTCAGATTCTCCAAAGGAGATTCTGGTCATGAGACATGTCTTTCCATCAGGGTGCCAGACGCATGTATTCTGAGATATAAACTCAGGGCCTTGGGAGCATATGAAAATCTGCACTTTTGTTTATTTATTTATTTGTAATTTTTTTTTCCATTTTCAAGGAGGGGTAATTAGGTTTGTTTGTTTGTTTAATGGAAGTACTGGGGATTGAACCCAGGACCTCGTGCATGCTAAGCAGACACTCTACCACTGAGCTATACCCTCCTCCCTCATTTATTTTTTGAGTATATCTCTTCAGGACTGTCTGGGGATATTGTGAAGAGATGGGATATTCTGGATCCAGGTGTGTCAGGCAAGGACAAAAAGAGTCAGAAGAAGGGCCTTAAAAACCCCATTGAATAAGAAACAATTTTTTAGGCAGAAGCTTAAAAAGAACAAACTAGTCGATTTACTAGCGACTAGACTAAGAACACTTGAGGAACAGGGTGATGGCATTGTTCCGTTTCTCTAACTTAATATTACCCTATAAACACTTTTTATGTCACTTTATAATCTTTATATTTTAGAGCTTTTTAATAAAACATACTCTAACAAGTTGATGGCTCCATCCTGTGGCTGAATATTTAAGCTGTTATAAAATTTTGCATATAACACCCCACGTTTCATGTTTCTTGTTTTTTCTCTCAATTTTCTCCTTAGGAAGAATTCAGTGGGGTACATGGGACTCATGACTATTTACATAACCATCTGCAAAGGTTGAAAACGAGCTACTTCTACCCTGATGAGTTATAGCCAAGAATGATAGTGAGCTTGGCCAGCTCAAAGCCATGTTCCAGTGTGTCATAGATGGCATTGCATTCAGCCGATATGTGGGAAGTCTCATGAGATCCCTTCCCACCACGTGTGAAAGAAATATCGAAAATTATGAACTCTTTTAAACAGATTGAAAAGCAGATCAAATAGTATAATAGACTTCTTTACCCACTATATGTATTTATAAATGTTAAGCATTTGTCATAAGGTACAAGTATCTATATGTGATTGTGTATTTAATGCACTGGACACTGTCTCCAACAGGCATAGTGTATGGGAAAACTTGTGGTCACGTAGACTGTAAATTGCTGAGGGTGGGACGATTTTTACAGTGAACAACAAGAGTTCATATTGCAATTTTTATTTTAAATTCTAGCCTTGTACAAAACTTGAGGATTAAGGGTGGGGGAGGATGATAAGATAAAAATCCAGTTTATATACAACCTTTGAGGAACACACCTCCTGCATTAAGCATGGTCGTCTGCAGAGAGATTAGTCATTGGCCTCTTTCTAGCTCTTGTCTTCCTAGGACTTCAGATGAAAAAATGAATACATTCCCCTCCTTCTTCCTGTTGTTTTCACTTTCTGGTATTTGTCTTAAAAATACCAGGCAGACTTACACAGAATTTCCCACTTCGATTTTGTAGCCTTAAGTAAATGAAAGCTGAGTTTTCCTCCCATCTCCGCTGCCTGGTTTCTGGCTCTTGATGTAGAAAAGGAGGAAAGAAGAATGGGCAGAGGTGTGTGCAGGCTGAAAAATGGCGGGAACGTTCTATTGCATTTGACCCTATTTCTTCCCTGGAATGATTATTACCTGCTCCTTTCTTACACTGTCTCCTCATTTCCCGGGCGGTGCAATCTAAAATGTGCTCAACTGCAATGGATTTTCTTAAACTCATGAGCCCAGGTTGCCTTTACCATCTGCATCCTCCTACAGAGACGGGGTATTAAAGCGCTCCACTTACAAGCTAGTCTTTAAAATCAATTGTCAGGAGAAATAGGTCATTTTCTAACTTTAACACCTTCCCAGTTTAAG